GCTGCTCACCTGCTGCTCACCTGCTGCTCACCTGCTGTTCACCTGTTGCTCACCATACGATATATCCCGATATATTGCGATACTATAAGCAAGGCACTATATTGCGATATATTGCGATTTTTTGTCCAAAAATTCTATTAAATAAAAACCTCTTACAGGGGAAAAAATGAAAAACCAAAATCCATTGTCTCAGAAAATTCTAATATTACAGAGACATGCTTTTGATACATTTAGCTGTGTTCTGCTTTGTATGTATTTTATTTTATTTGTTTCATATTTCTTATTTCATCCATGTTTTCAATTATTAGACTAAATTTGACAATAAATATACAGGGCTTTAGAATATCGATACAGTATCGGGAAATGAAATATCGCGATATTTCAGTGTATCGATATTTTCTTACACCCCTATGATCAATACCAATAAAAAWGCTGATAGAACGTTGATAATATCACTGAACTCCAATCCAGGGGACAAGGTCACGTCACCAGTTTGGCAGGAGTACTCAGCCTATTTTCTCCTGGTCCTTATTTCAAATAGGTAAAACAAAAAACTAATCAATAATTATCAATATATCGACCAATATGAAATGTCGTCACACATTTTCCAGCCATATTCCCCAGCCCTACGAACCACTGAGCCATTGTTTTTCCTTTTTTTTAATTAACGGTTTATCAGAATCTCTGATAAATAAAAATTTAAAAAGCTGGTTTTATTGGGATTTTATTAAGCAGAGTGGATTACCAGAACACTGCTGGTCCATTTCTCTAATATAAGTTTTGTTCAGATTGTTTCTAGAGCTAATCAGACCAGCTGTGTAAGCTATGGCGCATCAGTCACAGCACAACAATCAGAGCAGTGTTWTGTCACATTAAATTCACCTAATTAAATGCTGGAGTTATGTTCACAGTGAAGCTGCAACAAAAACAGCTGATGGCTGTCAGTGCACTTACAGAGTGGGCAACTGACATCAAATCACAAAAGCCCTTTGGGATGCACACTTGCTGCAAGATGTTAATGCTCTTAATCAAAGCTGACCACTCGCAATTGAATCATTGAGTCAAACCTTTAATGCAACGTCTGAACAGGCCCACTGTGATCCACCTGCACTCAGCTGTGAAGTGCCAGAATACATTATAGTGGTCATAGAGTGAAAGTAAAGATTATAAATTACCTGGAGCGATGGTAAATAATAGGGTCGTTCTCATCAGGAACTGTGTTGAGCATTCCTAGCTCGCGGAACATGTTCATCATCAGATCCAGAAAGCGCTGATTGGCAGCCCGCTCCAAAACAGCACTTAGGAGGGTGAAGGCATGAGTGGAGTACAGGAACGTGGTACCTACRTGTAATAAAACATGAATCTGATTCGCCATGATATTATTCTTACAGATTTGTTAGATTTTAAAGGGGATGTATCATGCAAAAATTCACTTTTTTTAGCCACTAAATGCATTTTTTTGTGTGTATTTGGAGTTTCTACGAGTGCAGAAAACTTGAACTGATTGACTGAAATGTGAAAAAGAAGGATTTAAAAGCACGGTACGTCTCCTTTWTTGGTCACAAGAAGTAGGGATGTTGACATTTCGTCAGCAGCTGCTGCCATTTTCTTCCCAAACTGCTGTGACCAGATTTTGCAAGGCTACTCTGTGCGTTTGCTTGTAATTTCCTCCTGCTTCGTTATTTCTACGAGTTTCAA